TTGGGACTTGATTTTTGATTTCCTAAAAGTAAATCCCTGAACCATGAATTTTTCCCTTCTAAAATATTAGGGTCCATTTGATAGGTGTAGAAAATAAATTTAATTATATGTTAATTGAAAAATAAAAACTCACCAAACTCGTAAGAATTTATTTTCTGTGAAAATAAAGAAAATGCAATTTAAATTAGTTGTACTTTGGAATTCGATTTTCATTTCTACGTTACAATCAAACGGTCAAAATAGAATTCGTTTTCCTCGAATGTGACATTTTTTTATGGAAAATGTGGCAATCAAACAAGGCCTTAGAGAAAATTACCCAGAAAAATTAGAGACTACTTATCATAAATAAGGGGTGATAAGTTTAAATTTCATATATCAGGTGGTATTAAAATTAATAAATATTTAATTAAAACGTGCATAATTACATACTTAATTAGATAGCTGAATCTAAATAAATAAATTTATAACTAATCAAATCAATTTTAACATTTATCCCACTTACTCTCTCTTCATCTTCTTTGCATACATGACACTCTCTTTCTCTCTACCATATTGGCTCACACGGTCTTCTTCTTCACCTTGAGTGGCCATTTTGCCTTCTATTATCTTCAATATTCCCGAATTTCAACCTCACCCTAGTCCTCGTGTCAAGTAAAAAACATTGCCATTATCACACAAATCTTCACCGTGAAATCGCCCTTTTTTGTGCTTTTTTTTTTTAAGAAATTACAAATATTGAAAATTGTGTTATCTTGTAGTGTAGATGATAAAAGGAAGGTGATAGAAAACGGAAAGAGTAAAAAGAATGTTCTAGAATATTCTTCTCGAAAGAGGGTGAAGATGTCGGTTGGGGTGGAAAATCTTTGAAGAAGATGAAATCGATGTCTCAGTTTTCAGTTTTGTGGTGCATTTGTTTTCCAATAAGTGTATAGTGTATAGGTAGACTGATTATGTCACCAATCATGTGTTGTAATCTGATTTTTAAAATTTGTGACATGTATTCCGAGTTATTTGTGAATTAATCTTAACAGTTTGTGATTGATGTTTCTTTCCTTAACCTGAACAAATTTTGTAAAAAATGTGTTTGGAATGTATGTGATATAATAAATTGTCATGGCATGTATGGTGTGTTTGTGATCTGGTTTTGAATAATATGTAACATGTATACAGTGACTTGGTGTTTGGAGTAAGGGTATTTATATTACAATTGAAGAATTGAATCAAAGATATTATTCATCTCACCCTAAAGAAGAGTAAAGTCAGTACATAAATAGGAAAAGAAATGAAAAAGGCGGGAAAGAGTAAAAAGAATACAGCTGGCAAACTAACCCCAAACTAACTCAACTATGCTGTCAAACTAATTCAACTATATGGTCATAATACGCCCCCTCAAGATGTGCGATGAATGTCTTTCACACACATCTTGGACAGCAAAGGAGCAAGGGTAGATGC